ACCTGAGCCGAAGTCGGACGGTTAACTGACTGAGCCACCCAGGCACCCCTATATCTCAAATTTTAAAACAAACAAACCTAGGGAAGTATCTTGAATGACTTACAAAATGAACCTCAGTTGGGGAAATAATCATTTTTAAACTTTGAACTTTGAAAGCTTATTTGTGATTAACAGTAAAAGATACTAACAGTATTTATTTTTGTGATGAATCTATACAAAATTTTGACCCCAAAATGTGTTTGCATAGAAAATGATAAATGTTCAGCTTGCTTTAATATCTCACTGCATTTTTGCTTTCTCTTTACCTCTCTGCCCAACCTAGAAAAACTAATTGAGGGACTCAAATCTCCTGACACTTCTCTCCTGCTCCCTGACCTCTTGCCTATGACAGACCCTTTTGGTAGCACTTCCGATGCTGTAATTGGTAAAGTCATCATCTCTGTTTCTTCAGCCCTGCATGATCTATGTGTCTGTTTCGAGAATGATAACTACCTGGTTAACAGATCCCTATTGAATGGCCCTGCTGGGGAGTGGAAATGCCACAAAGCCTCCTTTAATCTCATTTGTTATCACCCCAAATGAAGTGTTTTCCCTGCCTTTCCAGGGGCACCACACTGTTATTTTTGCTTTGCTTGATAGCCTGAGATTTCCAAAAGGAATTTCTTATGAATGAGGAGGAATGGAAAAATTGACATTTAATTACAGAAGCTTGATGAAAGAAGTTGCTTTCAAGCTGGGACCTTACCTTTAGCAGATTCTTCCTTAGAAGGCCTCTGTATGTGCCCCGTATCAGAAACAGAAAACACTTGCCCAGTGGTGAAGCCCCATGAGTAGAGTCTGGGACAGGGGCTTAGTCTGCTCAGTTTGGTATTTCCCTGTGCTTCTACAGCAAGGCAGGTATGAACTACAAGATGTGCAGGGCCCCTGTACTCCAGGGCACATAGTCCTTGAACCCAGGAAAGCCATGACCCTGTAGAGATGGGCCTTCAGCTGCGGGATGTGACACAGTGCAGAATACCTCCCGGCCACATCATGGGGTGGGATTTCAAATGGAGTAGTTACCTTCGCCAGGCACAGAGGATGTCTGCCCCCAAGTTTATCCCTTAAGAAAAGCAAAATTACCAGAAGATACTATGGTGCCTTTCAGCCTATGTCTTCTGACATGGAAGAAATCTGCTGGGTGACTCGTGTTCTACATTTATCTATAAAAACTGAAACTCACCAAGATTAGTTATAGTGGTTAACCTTGCACATGCCTGCTCAATCAGTGAAGCCCAGACACTCAAAGCAGCAGAAATAAAGTAACTTACTGTGCTATCCATCTTGCCCGAGACTGGCATTTTAGACACCTGTAGAAGGAAGCCTTCACAGAATTGTCTGAAGAACGTTTTGACTCCTTTTCCCTTACCATCTGTTCTCCTTTCTTAATGCTCTGTCACAAAAGAAAAAGCCGATGTTGCTGTTGAGAGTCTCATACCGGGACTGGAGCCCCCGGTACCCCAGCGCCTTCCATCCCAGACGGAATCTGTGACCTCGAACCGCACAGGTCAGTCAGGTGTCCTGCAGCTGCATTGTAGTGGCCCTCGGAGCCAGCCTTTCCACCTGTAGCAGATGATCCTGGGCTTAGTTTGCAGCCTGGTTATTCCTCCTAGAATGGATGCTCTGTATGGTTACAGCCCCAGCTTCTCGCTGTTTAGTGACGTGTTTCCTTGCTAAAGAGCAGAGTAATTTTTGGAGCCATGTTCTTTATAGAGTGGTCCTTGGGCTTTCTCTGGTTACAGTGTTTATTTATTCAAGATTCTTTTCACTGGTGGCAGGTTCCCTCCACCTCCTTCCCCAAAGAATTCTGTTGAGCTACAAGGATGGCCTTAACTCCTCTAAGGTGTCTGTTCAGTCTTTCTATACAACCGTGTCAGTGACTTCACGGAGCTACTGCTCTGTGTGTTGACATTCTGTCCTCAGCACAGTGCTTTAATCCTGGATAGCTGGTTTGCTGTTAAATTGTAGGCAGAGTTGAAATCTTCCCCTGGATTCAGCATTGCTTTCCCCCGAATTTCAAAATTCGCTCTTAATAGAATTCCTCAACTGCCCATAAACACAGAGTTGATAACCTGCATTTTTATCGAGTCCATAGTCAACCTTGGTAAAAGAGTCTGATTTTCTAACTTGGAACAGAAACCATTGGAAGTCTAGGAACTGTGAAAATAAACTTACATTTAAGTGGAAAGAAAATGAACATAAAAGATAATGCAGTTCCTTTCTCTTGTGCGTACTTGACTGTTTTCTCTTAGAAAACTTTCCCAGAGAACAATTTGTATGTGAAAATACTTGAACTCTGAATTTTGCCTTCCTTCTGTTCCTTAACTAAAAGTGAAAGTCATGTGTCCAGAGGAGCAATTCAAATTTAAAAAATACTAGTAAGAAGCAAGATTGTTTTGTTTCAAATGGGGATCTAGTTGAGTTCTAGAAAGTATTGTTTAACCGTGTCATATTCTGCTAATAATAAGTCAGGGACAATCCCCTCCTAGTCAACTTAGATACTTCATCCTATAGTACCTTTTCCCATAAATGTTTAGGGAAAGTTTAAATGAAACTCTTTAGTTGCAAAGTCCTTTTTCCCAAATAGCATTTGCTGAGAACTAAGTTGCTGAAGTTTTATTGGCATCCAAATCACATACTTGCTTACCCAGCAACCTCTGAGCAAAGAATTATTCCATATTTATATGTTAATGTTAAAAGAATCTAGAAATATATCTTACTATAGATGAAAATTCGGCGGGCTTAATATGTTACTTTTGGTTTTCTTTTCTCGCCTTGGCTTATATGTATAACATGTAAATGCCGTAACTTAAAGGCTAAGATCTAATCTCATGGTATTGTGTGTGCCATTTAATGCCATCACTGACCTGGGATGCTGTTAATCTGGACTCAGATTCTCTCACCGGGGAAGATTCCCTGATTGATTGCTCCTTGCTTTCTAACCCTACTACTGACCTGCTGGAAGAGTTTGCCCCCATAGCGATATCCGCTCCAGCCCATAAAGGTAAATGCTTTCCTGTCCTCTGGGGCACGTGTATCCTTAAAGGAGATCTGAATGATTTCTGAGAATTTTTCTTACCAAAAGTCTTTGGCAGTGAAGTTTTTTAGCCCCCTCCTCTCTATGGAAAACTTGAGTTTGTACTCTTAGCCTCTGTGTTAGAATCCCTCTCAGGAAGAGTACCTAATAAGGCTTAGACAACAGGTTGGTGTAGGCATTGCTTTCTGGCAGTCTCCTGGAATGCACATAGTCCATGGTCTCCATTAAAGGCAGAGCTACGTACCTTTGCGGTCCGCGCATGTAGATGGTTGCGTTGACTATCCACTGACTCCCTTTTATTATTAATTAATACGATACTTGTTAGCCTGAGACCTTAAAATTGTTTCATCAAATCCGATTTAAAGTTTTTGAGTAGGGATTGCTATGTTAAAGAAGCAGGCCAAGTCCTCAAAGTCAGTCTTCAAAGATTGAACTTATAAAAGTTTCGAATTTTGAGTCATGATTGGTTACTAGATTTCTCTTTCTGATCTACCATTTTCACTTCTTACTCTTGGGTTAATACTGGTGTGAAATGCTCCTGGACAGAAGTAGCTTGAATTGGGCTCTCTTCAGTGAGTTGTTCGTAGAAGTGAGAGGCACAGAGCCTGGCTTACTCTATGCAGGCATTCACTAACCTTCTTTCTGTACTTGGGTAGTGAAATTGGTTTTCTGGAAGGAGCACATATATAGAAGAGGAACAATGTAAGTTTCTTCTGAAGGAAATTCAAGAAGTAAGCCTCCCTGAGATGACTAAAAAACAGTTAGTTTGGGGCTCTCAGGTGTCTTAGTTAAGTGTCCAACTCTTGATAACAGCTCAGGTGTTGATCGCAAAGCTGTGGTTCAAGCCCCTTATTGGGCTTCACGCTGGGCATACAGCCTACTTAAAAAACAAAACAAAACAAAACAAAACAAAATTAGTTTATGGTTTGCAGTGGTAAGAGCTGAGGTTTTGTTTTTACCCTTGACAACATTAAAATGATTATGTTTTTATAGAGTATGTGTTTTTAACCAATTATGTCTGGCAGGAGTGTGTCAGCGGTAATGTGTAATTACAGAGAAGCATCATTTGCAGAATAGGTGCTCAGCTAGCGCTTGTGCTGGTAGAATAGTCTTTATCAAAATGGAGAAGGATATCTAACAGACTTCTGCTTGAAATCTGCATGTGATCTTGGGCCCCAACATTCCCTGAGGCATCAGAGTTGTCGGAAAGTCTTTCTTCCCAATCATAGGACAGCAAGTCTTTTCAGAAAGATTTTGTTTGCCTTGTATACAGCAGTTACTACTAATTACCTCCCCCCTGCCCCTAGCTTTGAGTTTCTTGAATATTGTTTGTTAGTCAGGCCCCTGTTTGCTCAATAAGGAAGATAAATGACTAATTCCTGTGCCTTTGTGAATTACTGACGTTGAAGAGAGATTTCACAATAACTACAATTAAAGGTCTTAAAATGGTAGTAGAGATCATTCTATAACCCTTCTCCCTAATCATTTATGAAAGTCTTAACATGGCCAGCCTGAAACCATTTTTTTTCTGTTTCCCTATTTTTCAGTTTTGCTACCTTTGTTTCCACTCATGAAAATAAGCATTTTCATCTTCAAAAACAACAGTGATTGTATAGGTGGAACTTTATGCCTCTGACATGTTCTCTCATTTGCTAATCTCTGCCTCTGTTGTTTCTGCTTGTGTACTTGCATTCTGTATTAAGCTGCAGAAGATAGTAATCTCATCTCAGGTTTTGATGTCCCTGAGGGCTCGGACAAGGTGGCAGAAGATGAGTTTGACCCTATTCCTGTATTGATAACCAAAAATCCACAAGGTAAGAAAGAGAGGATGGGGAAAAGAGAAGAACTTGGCATCACAGCTGTTTACAAAATAGTAATGTGCCTAATCTGCAAGAGGGAAGAAAGCATCAACACTTAGTGAAGGGAACTGGGGTAATGACAGGCCTTGGGGCTGGACCAGTATAAGATAGAGACACAGATACAGATGGAGATGTAGTTACCTTAAAACGTCACTGTGGTGTTTATTCAGAGAGAAGAAAAGTATTTAACTCTTTGACTAAAACCCGGTTTTACAAAGTATCAAGCCAAAAATAAAGTGACCTTTAGTCAGTAGAAACCTGAAGTCATATATACATATATTAAAAAAAAAAAGCACTGAAATTTTTTAGCATGATTTGAATAATCTATAATAAATATTCTTCCCAAAGAGATTAAGCATGGTGCTTTGATATCATTTGTATCTTTTGGACATTTGTGGAGCATCTTTTTTCCTCTTTGATGGATTATAACCATTTGAATGTGCCATGAGACACTGAATTACCATGGGACCATCTCTATATTTCTTAAAGCATGTTTCTATCGCAGTGGTCTTAATAACAGATTTTTCCCCAAAGCAACAGCTGTTGATTTTTACTTTATCAGGGAGATGAGTCGACATCATGAGGAAGTTAGTGTACAGCCAGCAGTTCTCAGGCAAAATGTATAGGCATTTGAAAACAGCATCCTCTCTGCAAGGTGTTCTGCCTGTGGTATGGTGTGCACACAGTGCCTGAAGTTCTGGTGGGAGGTGGTGCATATCCGACTCATATGTTTAAAAATCAACACGTAAGAGTTTGCAGATGTAAATTGTTTCTTCTCCAGGGTTTTGTTTTGTTTCTCCTTTGCTTGCTCTGCACATCTAAACCTTAACCCTCTGTGTTTTGTACTGAACTCCTATTTCTCCACTTCCAGGTGGGCACTCTAGAAACAGCAGTGGGAGCTCTGAGTCCAGTCTTCCCAACCTAGCCAGGTCTTTACTGCTGGTGGATCAGCTCATAGACCTGTAGCCGTGACCCAGTAGCAGATGCAGTTCTGTAACCTTCATACCGTAATATACATTTTCATTACGGAGTTATAAGAAAAATGATTTTTTAAAAAATCTGCTAATAAGGGGCCCTCCAGCCCTTATCTCCTACCCCTTGCCTTCTCCTGTAGAAATGATAAGGAAAGAAAATCACTTTGGCCCTCCAGATATTCCTTGGCCAGTTCCTCCCTGTTAGTTTGCTGTGTTTTCTCATTACCCCTCTTCAATAGCATTATCTTAAATCAAGCGCTAGATGCCATGAGCTTCACCTCTGCTGGAATCAACTCCACCAAAAGCTTAACTGTAACTGAAACTAGTGAACTGACACCTTTGTCTCATTCTTGCTAGGAATGGCCTCCCACACCAGTCCTCCCAACCCCTGTCTCCTTTGGCCAGATGCTGATGAATGTGTTTCTCTGTTTTTGCTTTTTACGCTGCTGCATTATCATGAGGACATGGCTTCTTCAGTTGGTCTTAACTCTAGGCAGTAGCCTGGAGATGAGTGTGTGATTTAAGAGAGGGTAAAACTGACTGACGGATGGGATATGTTTGAAAAGAGAAATTGAGCCCAGCTCTAGCCAACCAGCTTTGACCTTGTTTGATCATAGACTTAGCCAAGGGATTTTACACCCCATGCAACCTGCCCAGCATTCATCCAGCATTCTGGCTTCCATTGAACCGTGATTTCTCAGATCTGGAGACGTGACTGCAAGTACTTGAGATCCTTGGATAAAATGTGTACATTATATAAAACCCAAGTATTGCCATTCCTTTTCATGTTAACTGTCCCAAGCCGGGATCTCAGAATTAGACCAAAACAAGACAATGGTGGTAATATGATACCTTTTATTAGAAGACTTTTCACTGGGGGGTGGATGGGGGAGGGGAAGGAATTGTAGCAGAAACAGATGTATTTTTCTTGTGATTTTTATTTTGAATCAAATATTGTAAATTGTGTATAAATGAAGACGCTGAATAGTTCTGTTTCCACTTGGCGTTTCAAGTCTGATATCAGGTGTCTGTACAGGGTTTTGACCTCTTTCCCTTGTATAACTACACAGCAATCCTACAGTGTAACATATGGAATCATTTTGAGTAGACTTGTGTGTTGCTTTAAGCTTTCAGCAGGTCCTCTGTCTTTGTAGAATAAGCATGTTGTTTATTTTCAGATAATCAGAAATAAGTGTGCCTACAAGCTGGGCACAATTTGACTCTGGCTACTTACCTTTCTTTCTCTCTGATGTTGGAACTGAAGGATGCAGCCAATGAAATATGTTCAGTTGGTTTTCCTTGGCTTCCTAGATTAAAAAACAAAACAAAGCGTAGTTCCTCACTAACCTTAGAATATTGTTCATAAAATAAATAAAGGACCCTGCACTGACATGACAACATGCCTCATGGTCACCCTCTGTATATGTACTTACTCATTGAAGTGTATCTTTTTTTCCTTACATAGAAAGCAATTTTATAAAATTGCCCTTTTGAAAAAGAGGTGGGCACAGAGCAACCCACTGTGGTTCTCTTCCTCGAGTGCCGTTTTCCATGATCAGAAGGGAAACTCTTAGTTGATCAGATTTGTACAAATAAAATTCCAAGCCCACTTGCCTGTTTCTCTATCTAGTACTTTTGTTTCTCCTTCCTCACGTTTGCACTTTAGTGGGGGGGGGGGGGGGGGGGGGGGGGGTTGGGAGTTGAGCAGCAACAACAGCCTGCAAAACACTGCACTTTGGAGGTCAAGCTTTGACCCTAGAAATGTGAGAGCAGCCTTTGAAAGGCAGTGGAGGAAAAGTCTGAATCTTTCAGCCTTCCTCCTGACTTTAAATACTTCCTGTGCCAGCTGAAACTAGATGAGCTAAGTAAAGCCCTCTATTAGGATAATGGATCATTTCCAAAATTGAGGGAGGCACCACCTTCCTGCTGGAAAAAAAAAAAAAAAAAAGATATCCTTGAAGAGCTCTCCATGATTGGATAGCAGTGAAAATGGGACTCGGTTTGCACCTTTGTGGACAGGAATATTACTGAAGATCAAAACTGTATTCTTTTTCCTGGACATAGAAAGAATGTATAATCTAACGAAGGAAATGTTTATTTTTAAATAAGAACAATGTTTTATGCCTATGTTTTCCAATTTGATTTTTTTCATACATATACATGTTAGAAATATAATGAAATATCTAGTTTCTCAATTTAATTGAAACCATGAAGAGTACAGTTTAGAAATTAGGTATCTCTAAATTGTTCCTTTCATGTATTACCCGTAATCACATTGAGATATATTATCTAGTCATCTGGCTCAATAAAGCTTAATGGAGACTATTAATGAAAATGAACAGACTAGCAGCCAGAGACTGGATGGAGGAAGTCTGAGGGAGATAATGACATGAAATCATCTTGGGTTTGTTCTTTAGGAATGGGGCCTCATAGAGAAGAACTATTTTTCTGCTAAGGTATCCATGTGAGTGACCAGCAAATGGGACCTCCCTTAGTTTATAGCTTCATCCCTAAGCTAAAAGGGTTTATTTGATATGAGTGAGGTATGCTGATAACTGGTAGACATACGAACTCCACAAGAGGGATCGGAGAGACCAGTCTCTAGTCCATCCACTTCATTTCACATGGAACCGGAGGCCGGGCCAGCTGAAGAGGCCTGGACAGGACAGGCCAGGTCACCTGGGATCTCTCCCTGACCTTTTCCGGTCACTGGCCAAGCAGCCTTCAGCAGGCTCTTCACTTCTAAGAGCTATTGTTCCTTTTTTATACAATGATGGGTTTGGACTAGATGGTCTTTAAGCTTATGGAATTCTAGACTTCTACGTACATACTATTATGCTTTGGAAGGACTATGAAGGATTTGTATAATCCGGATGTTCTTCAGTTACCTTCTGTAGCTCTTACTGTTACTGTAGCAGTATTTACATTTTAGAGAATTATAATGGACTTTTTACTAACTTGGGTTGCTCTTTCTTGGTTAACTGAATAGAAGCCTGCATTACTGGACAGTTTGGGACATAGATTCTTTTTTTTAATATTACTCACACACCCTACCTATTCCAACAAAACAGTGTCAGAAGATTTCTTTTAAAACATAAAATCAGTGATCTGACACTTAAAGATGGGCAGATACTATAAGCATATGTTTCTGATTTGCTTTAATCCAACTGTGTAAGAGTAGTAACTATACCAGAACACATAACAAATTGTTGGCGTTTTTTTTTTTTTTTTTTTTTTTTTTTCTTTAAAGCATTCAAATAACTAGATCACCAAATTCAGGTCCCAGTGTTTCTAAAAACACGGGACTCGGAGGAGATAAGGTTTAAATAGACACTTCTAACTATGATCATAATTAATGATTTCTTTAGCAGACATACCAGAATTTTGACAGCTAATTGAGTGTTGTTCCATTCAAAGCCATCTGGTTTTACTTGGGAAGCTAATACTTACTCTAATGATGCTGCCATCATTTAAGTTATTTTTGAAACTCCTCTCTTTAGAAATACCATCAAGGAAGGTAATAAGGTATAGGAAAATCAGTTGAATTATTATCCATTTAGTATTGCTTTCAGCATCTGGAAGCATCTCTTTCTTGATCTTTTTCCATGACTCCTGGTTTAGGGTAACATTTAGCAAAATCACCCACCCACCTCAGATGAAATGTGGTTACTATTAAAGACAGTAAAAGGAATAATCCACAGAAAATTCCCGAGAGGAGCTCATAATGGAAAGCGACAACTATCATTCTTAATTTCCTTGATCCTCTGAATAAGGGAACTTCCATAATTTCACCTGTCTGTAGTAGTTTAGAAAATGGAAAGATGTGGATTTTAAAATACCTCCGAAAGAGGTTGTCACTTTGTTCAGTGTCACTTGATACGGGACTTGGCTCTTTCTGAAGTAGAATTATAGAACTTGGATTGCTAATAATTACAGGGAAACAAACTCAAGAAAAATTTTCTCAAGATGAAATAATTGGTTTTGTTTATAATACTCTTTTCCTGCTCTGCTGACAGGTAATTGATCATTTTGATTCGAACTAACACAGTTTTCCCCAAGTCAGGAACAGTCTGCCTTCAGCAATTGTATGGGAAGGGGAGGACCTTCTGGGTTGACCTCAGCCCAGAAGTATGGAGGGATCTGAGTTCACCTGAATAAATGCACACTATAGGTATCTTGGGCCAAAGTAAAGTCTCCCATGATGATGTTTGTCTAAATTTCCAGGAGTCTTTAACTTTCTCTGACTGTAAGATTACCAGGCTCGTGTAGCCACTAACTTAGTTTGGGGACAAAAATGATAGGGTTGCCCAAAGTACTGAATTAAGTGAATTAGAGGCTGCTGGGCAGAACAGAGATACTAGCAGAGGGATATTTAAAATGAAATCTTTACTGAAACACTCCAGATAATATAAAACTGTTTTTTATTCCTCTCTGGAGACTATAATTTTACCAACACAAAGTTAGTCTTTTCATTTTCCACCCTAGTCATGTTCCTGAAGTTGGATGTACTTGGGTTTCTTGAGTCAAAATGAATCCCAGATGGCCTCCATTTCAAATAATCTGTAACAAGATACTACTTTGTTTATCCCGGGTTTCCTTTCACCAAGGTGGAGGAAGGAGTTTCTTTGGGTAATGCTAACTTATGCAGAGTTGCCAAATGGTGGTAGTTGCTTGAATGGAAGACACTTCCTTGGTTCCCACTTTGATGGTAGTATCCTGACCTTACTCTTCTTCCTGTGAGTATTCTGCTCTACCCTATTGCACCTCCCCCCCCCCCCCCGCCTTATCACATGGTTGTATATTTACCACAGGTCTTTATCATGTCCTCCCTAAGAAGACAAAGCAGAGGTACACGAAGCTACCTTGTACAGTAAAAATATGAAATTTAAACACTGCTACGCAAATATTGTATAAAAAAAGTCTGTAAACAATTTACTATGTAAACATACAGGGGAATAAAGACTTATCTGTTCAACCAGGAGCCTGATGTTCACAGATGTAAATAACTTAAAATAGCTGCTGTTTTCCTAATCTGAAAACCTACTTTTGCACAAAGGATTTAAACCCATTGTTGAGTGGCAGTAAGTAGCTGTGCACAAGGAAAGTGCGGACACCTGCTGAGGACATTTTAATGAGTCATGGCTACCATGGAGTCAGGGAGAATAAAACCCTCGTGAGCCTGCATTTGATATGATAAGATGCGGCTTTGAAAACGGAGCACAGATTTGCAGCTATCCTCCTCTAATTTAATCTTTAATATACCCAGGCCAGTTTAATTAAACATTTTATGTTGGCAACAGCAGCTTTATGCCCAGGGAGAAATCTCATTTAATTGCTCCACTGGCTTGAGAGGCACGGCATCACTGGCCCATGCTGGCTCCCATCAAATCCCTATTCCCCAGTCATGGGTCTTAATGCCACTGCACAACATATGGTAGAACCCTTAATTTTATTATCGAAGCTAAAAGGTCGTGGAAATTATTAATTTGATGTACACCTCTTGATTCCCTGATTTGGCTCCAAGAGTGTGACTTTCAATTGGTGCTGCATTTCTGACGTTCTTATGAAGGGATATTTTGCTTTCTATTTGCTAAATGTATGAGAAGGTTTCTCAGTACTCCCCAAGTCTTCATTTTTCCATTTTTAGCAAGAATTAGGTCTTTGATACTCCCTGTACCTGTTATTTCAGTTTGTAGTATGGAGGAAAGAAAAATTCTGGATTGATTGTGCATGATATTTTGCACTAAAGAGTATCCAGCCTAAAATTTAAGTCTTCAGATTTTGATTTTTTTGAAAGCACTCTGATGACCCTCTCACTATGTTCATCAGATAAAATTCCGAGGGTAAACGTACCCCAGATCACTCAACACTGATGGTTGCTTTGGAAGTTAATAGGCAGTTAGTGAGGAGAGTTGCTAAGTCATCAGATACTTTTGGGGACTTCTTTCCCACTCTGTCAAGCATATGAACTCTTAGGGAAATCTATACAATTTGGAGCCTCAAAATAGACTAAAATGGCATTATCCCTGATAGAAGTTTCAAAAAGTGTGCTTAGCCTTAACTTTGCACACCGCCCTACATGAGAGCAAGAAAAAGAAGCGTGTCTTGCCTTCTTGCTTAATTTAGCACACAAACCCACAGTGAAAAGAGACATAACACAGTTTGAGGGAATGAGAACAAAATGCCCTACTTTAGGCTTTATGATATGAAAGACCCTTGTGCAGACTGTAGGACCATGTCCTGGATTTAAGCCCTCCGCCCCTCAGGGACAACGGGCTAACTTCATTGAGCTCTGTGGTCATGGGGCATCTGCTATGCGTGGTTGGTTACCAGAGGAACGGGGCCAAGACATGAGGTTAAATTAGTGCAAATCCTTCATTGCTAGTAGCCAGACCTCTGCAAACATGTTTTCCTAATAGTGCAAGGCCATCCTCATCTACAAGGACTGTTCACCTTGAAAACATGTGCTTTCCCTACCCTACTAGAACACACTCATATTCCAGAAAGAACCTGTAACTGCCAACAAGACTTAATGTCCATCTTCTGCTCACAGTTATTTAGAACCTCTCCTTCTCTTGACCATTTTGTTTCTTGCGCTGAGAGAGCGTGGATATCTGTGCATCCCCAAACCCACCGGCATTCTTTGGTCTCCAGAATGCCCGGCTTGGAGAGCTGCAAAGGGTAGTTGCTCTCTGCTGTAGTCACACCACACCTTCTCTAAAAAAGAATGAAGAGGTTAAGAGACTTGGCCTTCTCAGGAAAATCCTTTAAATTAGTTTTCCAACCCTAGAAGGCAGAAGAATGCTGAAAAATAGAAATGGATCTGGCCTTGTTTTGAAGAACAGGAAGTAAGTTTTCCCTGCAAACTCAATGTTATAGGGGTTTTGTGACTGTGCTTGTGAATTTTTAAAAGTTCTTGAAGTTTTAGGTGTAGTTTTCCTATTACCATCAAAATCCTAGAATATGCTAGTGTGCCAGGTTTCCAGTCAACCAAGAACCCACTTTTTAAGTAATCTAGAAAGGTTAAGCATGTTCTTCCATCCTGTCCAGCTCTGGATGTGGGCATCTCTACTTGGTACCTGATAGTTCTTGAAATGTAATCTAAGACCGCAGGCATCCGAAGTGCCCCTGGTTCTATAGGTAGCTGCTTTTTGGCATTCTCTACACACAAACTGATCTGACTGAATTCAATTTAAGTTTCCCCAAAACACCAACTCCTGTCAAACTGTTCAGTTTTCATTATTGATGGCTATGATGCCATTATTAGTTTGACCATGCAAGAAAGAAGGTGTTCCGTTTACTTCCTGTCAGCTGACTAATGCTTCCAAGTCACCGTGTAGGTACCATACTAAAGCTGTCGCTCAAAGAAAAAACTTATCCTCTTCAAAATCATAGTCTTCAAACACTACTCAGAAAGCCATTTGGCACCAGTACAGAATTTTACTTAAAGATTCTAATCAGGAATTCACTGAATGCATTTGAACTCTTAGAAAATGAGGGGGGCACCCACCTTTTTTTTCTTTCTGAAAACGATATTTAAGGTCAGAGCTGTTTAAAAAGAAGCACTGCTAAAAAGTTAATAGAATTCCGAGAAACGAGTATTTTTGTACCGTATCTTCTGAAATGTTCCGATCTCTCTCTACATCTCTTTGCATACAATGTAATGCCTCTAAGTGACTGGTTTCCCAATAAACTGATTTTGATGCTGCTTCTGCTGTGTTCTGTGTGCTTAATTCAAGCAGAAACCTTAGCAGGGGATAATTGTTAGCAGAAGTTTCTACTAGCTAATGATTTGCCTGGAAGGGGAGAGGGTAATGTGGGGAGGGGATGATGGAATTACCTCTGTACAGAGGTTCCAAGTCGTCTACAGAATCTAAACCATTGTACCAAATGCCTGGTGGGTTGGGAAACCCATGATGAAATGATATCTTTACCCCCAACCACCCTTTCTCTGGATTCTTCTTGCTTAGTTACATATGCCTTTTTCCTGCCCTCTTGCTAACATGTGCCCAATGACATACTTCTAACCTGCTAATATTTCTTGGAAGGTAAGCTGTCTTGCATTCTGATAATTGTCTATTTGATTTTAAAAGCCAGAGCACCCTGAGGCACCTCTATCTAGATAGAAGTAGACTGGTAGATTAGAGTTTGCAAATATTTCTATAATTATCCTTGTATTTTACTCCTTCTGCCTAAAGGACTTTATCATAGATTCATTTAAGCAGAGGAGATCTTTGGTAACTTAGAAGACTGAAAACAAAATTCCAGAGCAATTCCAGCTGAAGGTGATTTATTTAATATGATTTTGACTATGTCTCCTCCCCTTAGAAAGTGCCTTCAGTATTGGTATTTGGGGCACTCTTGTGCTCTTTGAGTAGTGCTTATGATGTAAATCTTGTATTTATCAAGCAGCCGTGTTCTGCTGCTTTTCCAGGGTGGTGGTGGGGGCGGGGAGGGGGGTGGTTTGGGAGGAATCTGTCCTCAGATACAGGCAGCATGGAGCAGATGACCACATGTCAGATACTGAATTGCATTTGTCCCCAGACAGTACTTCTACATAATGCAGAACTGCCATGGTGTATGTGGACATGAGTGACTGGGTTTGTTTTCATTCCATCGTGAGCCAGTGCCAGGTAGAGCAGGTGTCCGTGTCTGGCCCCGCGAGTAGGAGCAGCTCATAGTTATGCTGAATGTCTGTGTGCCTAACATCTTCATCTCCTTTCCTGTACATTGTGCCGATCATGATCCAAAATGTGATATAGTAATTGCTTGTGTTCCAGTTTGTGTGCAGTTTCCTTGCCTGACTTTTATTTTTCTGTTTTTCCTTTTCCATTTTCAACCTTTATTATTTGGTCCCACAATGTTTCTGCCGCGGGTTGACCGTTAAATGTTCCAAGGAGAGTTGGACTGATCTGTGCATTAATTCTGCATTTTGTGCTTTTCTAGGTCTCCAGAGAGAGCCCAATCCCTGTCCTGTAATAACTATAGAGCACTTTAAAGACTCAGCGGGTGTTAAAGGCCTTCCCTTGTATCCAGATCCCTCCAGAGTACCTGGCATGAAAACTCAGAACAATTTAGAATCTGACTACTTGGCCCGAGATGGCCCTTCAAGCAACAGTTCATTCCACAGCAGCGAAGAGGAAGGGACTGATCTCGAGGGGGACATGCTAGACTGCAGTGGGTCCCGACCTCTCCTCATGGAGTCTGAAGAAGAGGATGAGAGCTGCAAGCCTCCGCAAGGGAAACTGGGAGGAGCCATTCCATTCACTCAGCCAGAAGTCTCTACTGAGCAAGCAAAAGCAGGCCAAGGTGGAAGAAAGAACCAGTTCCAAGCCCTCACACAACCGACCACTGATGGTCTCGGGGAGCCAGATGTTTTTGCCACAGCTCCCTTCAGGAGCTCAAGGGTTCCAACTGATGACATGGATATTTTCTCCAAAGCTCCATTTGTCTCCAAGGGCAGTGTGGCTCCTTCCCAGCCAGAGGAGGCGGACGTGTTCTTGAGAGCTCCTTTTACCAAGAAGAAGAGCATGGAGGAATTAGCAGTTGCCCAGAGCGCCTCCCAGGAGTTGCCCGTGCAGGCCAGTCTCCTCAACCAGACTGACGATGTTCCTTTGCTCCCAGGCCTAGAGAGGGCAGCGTATGCCCCCGTCCGAGCTCAGTATTCCATGGCTGCTTTTGTCCAACAGTCTAACCACCCCTCCCATTCTGTACAAGCAGCAGACCATCTAGACAGCATCTCTCCCAGGGGATCCTCCCTGGAACCTGGGGGTCATCCTAACGACAGAAACAAAGGACCTCAGCCCCAGAAAGAAGCTGTCTCAGGCCCCATGGCTGGCAAACCATTCCGCCCCCAGTCTTTATCCAAATATTCCCGTCACTATAGCCCAGAAGATGAGCCAAATCCAGAAGCCCAGCCCATTGCTGCCTACAAAATTGTTTCACAGACCAACAAACAGTCGATAGCTGGCTCTGTTTCCATCACATCCCTTTCCTCCAGGACTATGGAGCTGCCACCTGCAGATCCTTTTGCTTTAGCACCCTTTCCTTCAAAATCAGGCAAGCAGAAACCTTAGGAGCGATAACCTGAGCCTTAGGCGTCTGTCTTTACCCCACCCTCAGTACCTACCACGTCACTCCCAGCTGAGCCTATCTCAAGAAATACACCAATTATTATCTTTCAGTTCCACGTATCAGCAGAACTTGTGTGCTCAACAAACTCCGTTGCAGTGATACTTAACTGAAACCCCTTTAAGTTATGCTCATTTCTTTTGTTTATATTGATTTCTGGACTTCCAGGCATTTCCATCTCCACCTCCACCCAGAACTCTGCTTTCTTTGTTTGCCCCAAAACTGCTTGAATCCAGAAATACTTCACCCCAAACCAAAAGGGGCCATGTTACTGCAAGGTTTATTCCTGCAGTTTCCATTCTGAGTCATGTCCATTGGAGGACACAAGATTAGTCCCTTCAGGACTTGACTTAATGCTCTTGCAAAGGGCATATTTCTGGAAGGAAATGCAAGATAAAAATCCTGCAAATCAAAAGGAAGTGTGATCCTGCAGATACTAGTCATTCCTGTAAAACCAGCAACTCTACAAGGATTCTCTGGATCTGTTTCTGAGTCTGTGCGAGCCAGGCTGGCCTCTCACACATATGAGTGTGGGTGTGTAACGTGTGTCAGATCCTTTCCTACATAGAAATGCAAACAGATGAGATATCTGTGCTCATGTCTAACAGTGTTGAGCCTTCCCATGCCCACGCTTTTTAAATCACCAGGAGTGCACAGGTATGTGTGTGCCATGTGTGTGTGCACAGGGAGCATTTTTCCTTTAGGTAAATCCTGTCATACTATACCTACCTCCACAATCACTAATTTACTGGCATTTGTCTCCTGACCTAATTGATCTGAGCCCTGTTTTTATTTAGTTCTTTTCTTGTGGCAAAATTGAATTCATTGGAATGTGTAGGAAAATCCTGCTGCAACTGAGGCTTTAGAATAGATTTTTCTTTCTCCAAAATGTGCTATTTGCTATTAACAAATTCCCTGTACATGGTCTTGAAAAATTAGTTATCTTTATAATTCTCCCCGCCCCCCAGAACGATAGAAAAGAGCACCTTGTTACAGCTCTAACCATTGGGTATATGGTGTTAGTAATATTTTATTAACTACTTAAAAACCTGTGAGCACTCCATGCTGTCACTATGGAATTCATCATGAGACTAGGCTACAAACTAGATTTGCTTCCTTATTTGTTTTTTCCAATTCCTTGCTTTCTTTCTCCACTGCCTCTTGAGCAAATAGAAATCTGAGATATGTAAGTCAGTTTGGAAGAAGAGAAAAGAGCTGAATCAGCTAGCCATGAAAACCTTTCAATTCTCTGTCCTCTGTAGATGTTGAAGTAGGCCAGGTAGGTGACTGAGTTGTGGTTTTGAAATGTCTTCTATTTCTGGAAAGATCTGACTCATTCCTGGCTGTTTTCATACCCTTTATTATAGTGCCTTAAGGTGAAATTCGTGTCTCTATGGGAAGATTTCTGCTGAGGAAGTTCAATTTAATGGAAAGAGCTGCTGGGCCATGTTTCAACCCAAAAGCTTCCTGTTACTTGTAATAATAGATGTTAGTGATGTCTCTGTTAGCTGGAGAAGTTGGGAGGGTTACTTACCAAACCAAATTAATGATGTAAAAGAGTTGGAAATTCATCGAAGATTCAAGCCAGAATGCTAGACTCATACTGCAGTTGATTAGGTATCACACTGTTTAAATTTAAAGCTCAGGGGTCTTGGTGGTAGGATATGAATGGCAACTTTTCAATACTTTTTCTAGTGTAGTCTCCACCTATTTCAAATGTCCATGTTAAAAGATAAACTTTGATCATTGGCACTGGATCAGGGCTATCAGCAGTGGTTTTCCACCGAGTTTTCAGCCACACCAGTCTTTTTCACTTTGGGGAATGCGAAATGTTCCCTCTAAAAGTTTGCTTTTCTCCCAGTGATTATTTCTGATTTTTCTGTGTAACAATTGATGCAAAATCATTTTTTCAGTTGAATAAGTAGTTTGAGCTAATGCATATGGAACTTTGCACCCCAGACTCTTCCCTTGGCCATTATCAATTAAAGGCCTCAAAAGCAGGAGCTAAGAGGATAGGAATATTCAGGGAGGTACTCACCCCATGTCAGAAACTCTTAAAGGAGAAGGTCGCTCTCACTCACTCTTCCAGATATTCAGGATTACCTCCGTAATAGCCCTGCAAAATGTCTTTCCTTTGGTTATTTGATCACTTCTTCCTAATCAAGTAGCCATGTTAGCTCTCGAGGTAAAATCGATAAAATCATGGTGATTTTATCACGTAGTTGAATCATTTGTCAAGCATGGGCTTGCAATGTTTTTTATTCTCACTGGAGACCTATTGTGGGTGGAGACTCTAAATACATTCTTTGAATAGGAAATGAATGTAAAAACATGCAAATTACTTTTGTGTTTTTATTGAGTGATGCATGAAAATTGTTTGACTAAATTACATTAATTATTAGCTAATAACTAGTAAATTCTGCACTGATCTTTGGATCATATAGGGTAAATGCATCATTTAAAGGTTAAACATTCTTGCTGGGGCACCTGGGTGGCTCAGTCGGTTAAGTGTCCGACTCTTGATTTCTGCTCAGGTCATGACCTCAAGGTTCGTGGGATTGAGCCCTGCATCGGGCTCCATGCTAACAGTGCAGAGCCTGCTTGGAATTCTCTCTCCCCTCTATGCCCCTCCCCTGCTCATTCTCTCTCTCTCTCTCTCTCTCTGTCTCTCAAAATAAATAAACATTTAAAAAAATAAAGATAAAATATTCTTGCCAGAGGCCATTCTGAATCTGGAATTCTAGAAAATTTAGCATTAAGGGAATTAGGAGTGCTCAGGGTGCTTTGAGTTAGTACCAAATGCATGTTTCCAAAAACTATACTGCAACAGGTTAACATTAAAGAGAAAACTAAGATATATAGTCAACAAAATACTGTACTTTCTACTTTTATGTGTTATTTGCTTTTACACATTTGTTAGGGAATGCGGGAACTTGTGATCTTTCATTTCAGTGGAGCACGATGAGCCAGAATATATTTAGATGTAAAGCATCGAACCACAACATGCACTGATGAACTTTTAAAGAATCTATGTTAATTGACTAACAGTCACTATTAAATTAATGAAGTTTTACTATGTGTGGTGGAAAATATTTAACATAGCTGTTTCTTGAGCTACATATGACCCTTTAGGCTCCCAGTCCTTGTTAGATTGGGAAGTGGAATGAACAAAATTTGATGTGGAAGCAGATGCTGGGCAGAGCCTAAGGGAACCTGGATCTTAAACTCAATTTCATTTTGGGCTCACTCATTATTAATGAGTTGAAAACTTCCTATGTGTGGACTGGTGTGTACATGTTCACGTGGCCACATTAGGTCTGAGTTTAATCTGGTGACCAGCGTTTCTTTCTAAACTTTCAAGAAAAATATCGGCATCTTATTTGCCCGTTGTTGATTTAGTAAGTTTTAGAGTACATGTACATAAGTGTTTTCAGCTATTTGGTGGATATTTCACTGACTCATAAAGTTGCAGATCTCAGTTTTATTTAAAATAAATATAATCGCCAGAGTGATCTGACAATAGAAATTGAACCATGCTGTATTTGATACCATAAGGAAACGTCATCAGAACATAGATCATATAGTTTGTATGCATTTTATCAAATAGGAAATTTTACAGGAAACGGGAGAAGGGTGAGAGCCAACTCATTCTCCAGCATGAGAATGGAGTCATTGGGTGCCTTTCATAAAGGAAGATGTCATTCTCTGCTGTGTCTTTGGAACTGAAATTGTAAAACACATGCCAGTCAACTGTGGAATGGCTGCTGGTCACACAGGTGCAGTTTTAGCTGAGAAATTTAGAACCCGGATTATTTTGATAAAAGAAACATAGGAGAGCCGCTGGAAAGACCGCAGTTTTTGAGGAGGTGGAAGTGCTTTGTAAATGCCTGCAGTCACTCCTGGGTTCCAGTCCTCCCATCCTGCCTGATGGAGTAAACATGAAGAGTTTAAATGGAATCATGTCATTTAAATTCTTCATTTTTCAGTCCCTTTGTGAACTACTACTGTGGTTTTTGGGTTTTTTTGTTTTGTTTTTTTAAACCATCAGAATATTTGCAAACTTGTGAAGTTCACTTAAGGGTTTCAAGATGCTTGAAAATAAAAGTAGTATCTGGTTGGGAGTTGTTTTTGTGTTCTTTTCCTACAAAAATAAATTTTCTATGTTGCTGCAAACAACTAGCTGCCTCAGCTTAGATGTGAAAATCCACACTGGCGGTGTCTTGATTCCCCAGGTGCCACCTTCCTCTCCGACTTCCTGTTCTACTGCCTCCTTTGTACCTTGACCTTTATTAGGAAACAGGCCTCCCACGTGTGGTATCCAAGATCCTATCACTAAGACACAGCCAGACACAGCTCTTTCCTGCTTCTTTATTCCTGCAAATCTTCTTGGCTCACCTTCCTTGTACCTGTTCCCACCCCTTCATTTCCTCACTTAACATTACCCTATTATGACCATACCAATAAGTGGATGAAAGAGAGGTGGGACCGAATGATCATGTTAATTTCTATGTGCCTTTGTTACTGTAAACAGTTTCTTAAGTTTCAGCCTAACCTTTGATAATCTCACCACACTGGAATAATTCCAAATAAGAATGAAATGGCTCACCTTCCCCATTTCTTATGGACTAGAAGAACAGATGAAGGAAGGCTGGCAGAAGTCCAGCCTTACTCTGGAGACAACCCAAAGGCATCTCTCCACCATGATCTAACACAAGCCCAATGCGCTCCAGAATGCAGGGGCAAGTTTAGGTGTGAAGGGACTCTGGAATAGCTTGTAAAAAATGGCTAAATGCTAACCAGCACACGGGTGGCTTAGTCCAGGATTCCCGTAATTTATAATTCTGTAAGAAATGTAGTCTGAGCTATTTCCCATCAGTCTCAGTATGGGTGGCACTGTTTTGAGTTTATAGTAACAGTGTTCTGTTCTTGAAATCAAGTCAATATT